CCGGTAGCACTGACAGGGTAACATTTCATTAAACTTGCCTTCTTTCATATCTTTTGGAGTTTGCCTTCCAAAATATCTCCGCATACATGAACAACTGTTATTGTTAAATTGCTAAAAGAAAAGTAAAATTCTTGGAATAAGACTCTAAAGACTGGTTTTATGCATCCCGAAGTAGCTGGGTTTCTCTCAGTCTTGAGTGGGTAATCAGAGCGTGAAATAGAAACAACATTGTCCGGAACGGTCAGAATAAAGGAAACAAACACAAAGTCCAAATCTTGACGTTTTCTTTTGACTCAACTCAATGCTCTCTGAGGTTCAACAGACTCTTCTACTTACGTGCTAAGTTCTTCCATGAACGTATGGTTTAATAATTGCATTTAGATGTTTACCTTTGCTTTATTTTAAGAGAATATATTGTCTACTTCTACTCAGTAGGTTCAAGCCCTCTACCAACTGTCTAGTCAACCTGACTCCACTGAACTATAGCAGAGAATGTTCCTGGCGTTGCTTTTACAAAGCATGGTTCACCCAGTTAGGAAGCTGCTCTGGATCTGACCACTCAAGGAGTGCACACTGGTGTAATATTGGAAGATCTGCTACTCTTCTCTCTCTGAGTAGCTCCTAACCATTACATCACTGTTAGTGCAAGAAGTGGCCCTCAGGTTGCATAGCGAACAATTTCCCTGTTGTCAGGGAAGAGGCCCACTCAGATTTTATATTCTAGAGATTTACCTTAAGAGGGACAGGTCATAACTTCTTGTGGAGCATGTTTTCTCTGTACTTGCACCTCATTTAGTCATTTCATGTGTGGTTTCAATGAGAAAAGGAGAGGAAGTCATGCCAGTTGGACGAATAGGTCTTCTGGACCCACTTTCTGTCTCTGGTACTGAATATTCCAGGGGGTTCATTTTCTTCAGAGACGGGTTGGATATGCATCTCCCTTGATCTTTTTACTTGGCTCTCTACCCCTGTCTGCAACACGGAAGGTGCAGAAAATCACGATTTCAGAAATTTAGTTTGTTTTGAAATCATAATGTGTTTTCGGGTCTTAATTTGTTCAGATTTAAATACCCCCCCGCCCCTTCCCAGGGCTGCTTAAAACTCCTATTTTGAGTTCATATAGAAGACATAAGGTAAATAAGGTGATTTTGTTTTGTTCTTAACAAAATTTTAAAACAAAGGAAAACATACACTGTGTGGAAATCCCAGCCCTCGGGACATTTGTGGTCTAAGTCTGCCCCATAATTACAGTTTGAAAAATTCTGGCAGGTATTTAAATTTTGCCAGCTGCAAGGTGAAATAAAACATTGAGTTTTTTGGCTAGAATTAGAGTATATCAGTCAGTGTGGTAACTAGTTCTCATGCTGATCAAAATCTCTGATTCACAATTAAATATTTATTTGGCAAGTAAATATTGGAAATGAATTGTACTTGATAAATGCTATTTGGTAGATTAAAATCTTTAGAAGTATGGACTCTGGGAAGGGAGGTCTGTGGTGGTAAACAGGCCTGTGGGATCACTCTCTGCCACGATTGCCATCCCATCAGACTGGTGCTGTGGGTCCCTAGACTACTTTGTTCTCTGCTGAGTTCTTTTCTTGTGTGAATCTTGGGTTATAAATGGTAGGACTCATGAATGTAAATGTTGGAATTCGGGACTACTTTTAGGCCACTTTAAAGTAGGCTATGAAATGTTCATTTTTTAATTTTATGTTCACATTTTTTGTATTGTGGATAAACAACCAAGTGAATCAGTGTGTGTGTGTGGGAGGGAGGGCGGGAGGGAGAGAGAGAGAGAGAGTGAGTCTGTGGTTAGGAAGGGGAAACAGAAAGCACGCAACATATATTAGGCATTATTCTGTCCATTAGAAGGTCAATTAAGCTTCATAGGCTAAAGAGCCAGTGTGACTTGTAAGTGGTAAGTATTGGGGGCCAAGTATGCAAGAACATAAATTGAGTTTAGAAATCCCTCTTCTGGGCGTGGTGGCACTTTGACTTAGTGGGAAGAGCTCATTACGTTCAGGCACATCAACTCCCTCACTGGGCATCCTCCAGGTAAAATGAGGGGATGAAGGGGATGAACAGTATGTCTTTAAGGTTGCTCTAGCCTCTTCAAAGGTTGAATTCTAATTTTCTTCTGTGTTTAGAATGCATGAGTTTTTAAATAACAACAAAGCAAAGTAGCCCCAGTTTCATTCTTGTGCCATAGCCTCTTCTTAAATGTTGATTAAATCCTAGTATGAAAGGTGATTCTGACTTATCCTAGTCAAACTCTAACAGATCAAGACAGAACCCTAAATTTTGAAGGATCCAAAGGATATTAAGTTAGTGCCCAGGTATAATCTCTTCATTCTTAAAATATGTATAAAACTGCTCATAATGACCATCAAAATGGCTGTGTTCCACCTCTGAGCCATTGGATGGTGCATGGGGGAGAAACACAGCAAGACTCATGGTCTCATGAGACATCCGGAAATACCTGTGAAGTCTTTTTGTTGGGCTCCTGGGGAGCAAATGAAGGAACCACAAAGCTTGGGGTCTCCTAGGCAGTAGTTAACCAAGAAGTTATTGTTGCTGACGTGAAGTTCATTAGACAGGAACTATTTGCCTAAATCAAGAACAACAATGAAGGCAGCGTCAGAGCCAGGAGGTTGTCAGGGGCAATTACACACAGAAAACTGGGTTCCTGGGGACAAGGGTAAAAGGAGGTGGTCCGTTTTTGGTGGGCCTGCAGTGGGAGCCAGGAACCCACTGGCTCCTCGCAGTGGCTCTCGGCCTTTCCAGCCCACACTCTTCACCACCTGTTTCGAATCAGTTTTACAACATCAAAGGTATGATGAGATGTTTTGTTTCATAACTAGTCCAAGTCTGCCATTTGAATGGGGCCAATTTTCAGATAAGCAGGGGTGCTAATTACTAGCCCTGTCCAAATTTAGAAGAACTTCTCAGAGCTTTTTCAAAACCGCATTCAGATTATAGGCCTCATTCAAGCTGCTCAAGCGGGGAATTCCAGTAGTAACTTCTAACACTTAGTCGGAAGGCCTCAACACTTGACATGCTGTAGGAGTGCTATTGTTTCTAACAAAAATTCTCTTGTTCCTAACAAGTGTTGTTTACTTTTGTGGTCGCAATACCACTTAACATCATTAAAAAAAATAAGATCATTCAGAGCTGTCTCTAAATGACTGAATGGTTTGGATGCCCAGTGCTAGATTCAGCAGAAAGGCTACAAAGGTGACATTGATGAGAGACTTTAAAATTGCCAGTGGGCACCAACTCTAGGGTTCTGGGCATGTGGGCAGAAGTTAAGTAGTTCAGCCCTGCATCTGCTCAGAGTCTGGAGAGGAGACTTTGGGCTGATGTATAATTCTAGAACACAGCTCTATTTGGATACTTTTTATACTTCAGTGCAAGCTGCTACTCGCCTCTGAGGCTCAGCTTTTCTGAGTGCATGTTTGCACTTTGCACTTTTAGTTAGGCTCTGCATCTTGTCAGGCATTTTGAGTGGCTCTGGGTTGGAGGGGTTAATTTTTAGCAGACATTTACCAAGGTAGTTCAAGGACCCAGCCAGCTCACCTTTCAGTCCCCCACCCTGTGCTAAAGACAGTACTCTGAGCTTCTTTATATTGAATTGCAGTGGTCCCTCCCCTGTTTTTCTGTAAGCCTCCTGGCTTTTGTGTAGCTTGAACAGTCATGAATGAAAAGCTCAGCTCAACGGAGGTCGGAGTCAGCCCCCGAAGTAAGCAGAGAGGCATCAGGCTGCCTTCTGGTTCCTAGTTTTTCTTTTTTCCTGCATGTGGTTAAGCTGTGGAGGCCCCTATGGTGGGGTCCACAGTTGTCACCTGGGAGCTCTGAGAGCCAGCCACCTGGCTGATTACTGCAGGCTAGTTAGGTACCCAGGGTGGTTAAAAATATATGTAAATGATTTGCTCCTGGTACATGCAGTGGCATTAGAGATGATCTAATGCAAAGGTTTTCAGCAGACCCTTCTCTTCTAAATTGTGGCAGAGGAAGGTAACATAATTGTCTGTTGGCCCTGAACACCCTCCTCTTAGTTCGCCAGCATCTTTCAGAAATTGGGGTTATCTTGCTTTGTGAAAGGAGGTTTTTGCACAGCTCGCTCAGCATTGTTCGAGGCTGTAACACATCACTGAACAAATTGCCCCCTTGCATATGCTAATCCTGCCCTTAAAATAACTCATTGTAACATGTTCTGATGCATTAGCCCAGAGGAGATGGGAATTGACCAGCTGTCAGATCATGTCATGTGACCCCCAAATATCTAAAATGCCTCTTTTCTTTGGGTCAACAGTTCGTACTCAGCACATGCAAATGAAAGTATCCTGTGTGGTTTGTGGAAAAGATTAGTCCTTGTTCCTGCTTTTATGTGTGGGAACTGGCCTGGCCCTTGAAGATTCACTGGCTGAAATTCCCTCTTTGGGTCTTAAATTTCAGTGCTTTTCGCCACGAGCATCAAATCTTATTTTCAACAATAAATTAAAAAAACTTAAAGGAGTTTCTTCATTGTTGCTGCAGGAAGTGTTGATTTGTCTTAGTAAACTGTGCTGATAATCCCACCTATTCTCCTGGCGTTTTTTAGGAGTGACACACTCTGACTTGCAGTCACAGAATAAGTCTAATAGAATAACCTCAGGATTTACTCATAGGCCATTCATGTTCTTGACCAGGAAGTTGCAGTGGGAAAGACTAAAAACACATCCCCATATAGACAGCAAGTTCCCATTTCTCTCACAGTTAACAGAACATTTTAAGTGAGTAGGGCCCGAAAAATGGTTTGATTGCATAGTCAGGGTTGTCCTTTTAAGTACTTAAAGTTGTATAAATGTTTGCCATTCAGTCTTCAGATGAGATGAATTAAATGGAATGAAAGGCGATGTTGGTATCACCTTTCTAAAACAGCTATCACGTTCAGGTTGGGTTTTAATGTGTACAAAGAGACCTGGGAATAAATCTTCGATTAATTTTTTTTTATCTTGCAGAGTAATTCCCTCTTGGTCCCAGACAGTCTACGAGGCACTGATAAACGCAGAAATGGGCCTGAATTTTCCAACGACATCAAAAAAAGAAAGGTGGATGATAAGGATTCCAGCCACTATGTAAGTAAATAAAGGTCTTGAAATAATATTTGTTGCTTGCTTGCTTATTTTCCAAGTGAGTATACAAAAGTACTCTAAGATCTTAGTGATAATCCACAGCCCTTAAAATAATACCATAAAGAGGATAGAGTCTTACACCAGGATATTATTTCCCTCTAGAACTGTAAATTATCCTTCTGCCAGGCTTAGTATTAAATTTTAGGCTTTCTGCTTTAGTTTCTCTTAAGCGGAGACACAAGAATGCAGGGCTGGCCTCATGGGCATGCAGTTGCATAGGGCCTTGCTTGTGAAAGGACCCTGCCTCAGGGTCCTTTGGTTCTAATGCTCTCTCTCAGCCATCTTCACATTCTCAATTTTTGAACAAGGACTTGCATTTTCATTTTGTCCTGGACCTCTGCTGCTAAAGTGATCAGGGTAAGATCTGTGGTGCCATAAAACACCTTTTTGAATGCTATTCTGATCACCTCTGTTTTATAAAGAAACTAAAGTACATACCTTGCAAGTGGTTTGCCCAAGGTCAGAGCTAGTGGCTGAGCCTGGAGGTGGTCTGACTCCAGAATCCATCTCTTAACAACTGTGCTAGGATTCCCAACCGAGGTGTTAGGGTGGATATTTTGTCAGAGGTCCTTTGAATTGGTCTACACTTTGCACTATAATAATAATAATATACAAAGAACCCAGGTTTTTGGTCCTTTCCAGCCCAAGCCTTTCAGCACATTGTTTGCCCCTTATCTTTTGCCCAGAGCCAGTGCCCTGTGCAGGTATTTTTATATATAGCATCAACTATTAATAAGCTAGTGAGAAGGACCATGATATGCAGAAATTTGAAAATTTGCCAATACAATTTCAAGTTGTTCTACTCATGTATGTTAAGTTATTTAATAATGAGTGAGCTACAATCCATAGTTCTGCATGTCTGTTTTGTAACATGCGTGTATGGCTAATTGTATAGGTGATTGAGGGTGTATTGAAGCGATATTAAAGAATCTGGGACAAAGGCCTCAGGACCCATCACAGGAATACTGTACTGTGAAGGTTTATATTGGCAGAAGGGTCAACAAAGCTAAGATTTAAATTACAGAATACTTAAGGACTCACTTCAAAGATCCGTTATAATAAGTTAATTGTTGGCTACTTTTTGTCAGTTCAGTTACATTAACTATTTCTATAAAAAAATTTTTTTTTCTAAAAGGGAAACACTTTTAGCTTCTATTTTATCGCCACTCTAGCTTTGGGTTCTGTACACCTGGAAATATTTAAGCTTTTCTGTGGGCTTTACTAAGCAAATGCAAGTTTTCTTTAGTATTAATTTTCCTTTTATTACATGAAAATATTTTTCAGTGGACTATTTTGAATTGCCTCGGCTTCCTCATTGGTGGTAATTTTATGTTGTTATTGGTGAATTTCATGGTGCTTTTATAACAGTGTCTAAAGTAACACATTACTAAAGAAAGTAAATTAGGTCTCCCACACGTAATGCTCTAGGTACAGTTAGAAAAAACATTTAAGACCTGACTTTAAAGCTGAGGGTAACTTTCCAGCCTGGACTTGTGTCCCACAGAAGGCCAATGTGGGTACTATTTGCACTGTACTAATATTTCTCAAACATGATTTGTTTATTCTCAATTGACAATGACATCAGGAAAAGGACTGTTTAGGTCATAAACTACAGGCCTACTTCTCTTTGGGAATTAGGACCTGTTGTGATAGCCTACTTTTTCTGTATGCTCATTGTATTATTTTGCACCAAAGGACGTCAGGCCTTTTGGCTAGGAAAGTAAACTGCCTTTTTTAGCCTGCCTCAAACTTGAAGAGTGATCATATCTTTAAATTGGACAGCTTTTCTGAAGCCTTTTCAAACTCAGTGCAACCTTGGCGTTTCCTCTGATTATCAAACTATGGCTTTATGAAGAGACGATGAAAGCCCTACTGCAGGATGCTGGTGCCCGCCACTATTACCACCCTGTCTTCCTTCTATCTCTCCAGAAATATTTTATGCTGGTTGCTAAAGAGGGTTATTCTTAATATGAGGTGGTTTCATGTTCATATTCTTAAGATTAGTATGTTACTCCAGCCAATAACTAGCTTTATTGTTTTTACTTTTTGTTTGCTTTATATTTTTTATAGTAATGAGTCACCCCATGGGAACATGGTTTAAGTTTGTCTTTATAAGCAATTATTTGTGAGCGTTAGATTTGTTGGCTGTCTTCAAGGTGATGCACATAAAAGCAGTGACATGAAATTGTGTTCATAATTTGAAATTGAACGAGAAAAGACCTGATATAATGCGGATTTCAGATTATAAGGGCAATTCGGGTTGAAAACAACTATGTGCCACACCTCATATGCAGGCTGTGATTATATATCTGGTATGCTATTGCAACAGAAATCCTGCCTGGGGCTTGTGTAGCCTCAGGTCAGATAAGGGGAGAAGGCGGATTCATTCCTAAGGCTGGCAATCTCTAAGGGAGCCCATAGGCTTACCCCAGGTGTTGTTTTTTTTTAGTCTGCCTGATATCAAGAACTATAGAAATTTAACTGGGCTTCAAACCTTTAATAAATGGAATTTAATTTTTTTTTTCCAGGACAGTGATGGTGACAAAAGCGATGACAATTTAGTTGTAGATGTGTCTAATGAGGTAACTACACTCTTTATCAAACTTTATGTTCAGAGTGACTTGTGAGAAAAAGAAGTGGAGCCACAGTGCTTTGGTTTCTTTCACCTTTATCCATTGAGAACTTAGTGGTTGTTCATGGATGGAGCAGTCATGCTGTACCGGACCTGAACTTCTGTTTCCTTTAAAATAAATGTTTCCCTAGTCATTCTGGATTCCTAAGTTGGGTCCCTGGTGCTCATTTTCTTCCTGTGCCCTCTGGGCAAAGTATTTGAACATGAGGAGGGAGATGGTTGTTCCCAGATTTTTTTTTCCTTTATGGTGTCTAATCGGGTATATTTGCAAATACCATCCTTTTAAGGAGAACAGTGTTAGTGCGCATACCCTCGAGTCCCCTAAATCTAGACTTTCAGCATTTCCTTTACTTTAGAGGATTAGTGTGGAAATAAGAGTGTGTAGGGAAAGATCTGTCCATTGTAAGCAAAATCATGGACTCTTTGCTTATGCTTGTTAAGGACCCTTCTTCTCCGAGAGCAAGCCCCGCCCACTCACCCCGAGAAAATGGGATCGACAAAAACCGCCTGCTAAAGAAAGATGCTTCCAGCAGCCCAGCATCCACCGCCTCTTCAGGAAGTTCTACTTCTTTGAAATCCAAAGAAATGAGCTTGGTAAGTAATAAGAACTCTCACTTGCCTCGTTAGCAGTTAAGTTTTCTTTGTGAACCGGGGGACCCTAAAGTACTTGAAATGCGGGGTTCTTACTGATTGAGAATTGTATTTTTAAGTGTTTAAAAGTGACACTCTTCTGTTCTTTGTTCCCATACAGTGTTGCTCTTTCCCTCTCAGTTGTCTCTTTTGGGCCATGATTAGAGGGAGATACAATTCTATGTTCCTTGCCTTCTTACTTGGGGGATATGCTCCTAGCACAGGCGCTCTGAAACTTCCCAGTTAGCAAATAGTTCAGACCTCCTAAGTCCTGAGAAGTCCTCATTTTCTTCAGCTGTACATTTTCACCTGGTTTCAGACGGAACCATGCGGTCGGGGCATGTTGTGATTGGGCTGCTGGTCAGTTTGGTGGTGCACACCAGGCGGCACTGGGGGAAGCCTGGAACCAGG